CAGAACTCTCATGAAAGATGTATTCCTTCAGTTACTCACATGGGAGAAGAAAAGACTCCATTCTGCCCAATGGTATCTCAAAAAAGCTGTCTGCAGCACCAAGCTCTTATAACTGAGCTATAGGACAGTCACTCCACTTCACAGCTAATCACACAGAGTTGCTGCAGAGCAGAGGACAGCAGCCAATGGTATTGGAGCCTGGCAACATGCTCTCATTTATTGAAAACCTTAATCAATAGATAGATAAGAAATGCCATTTAATTTTGCTCTGCCGTGTAGTTCCTGCAGTTAGTTTTCATGAAAAGTGAGAACTGTGTGTTTGGGATTTCTGCACAGCAGAGGTGTAGTCTCCATGATACTCAGTTGAACCAGACTAAGTAATTCTGGGTCATTTGTTTTGGTCCGTTCATCATAAAATTTAAAAACAATGTGAAGGGCAGTAGGCATTTTCAAATTTTGTCAAAAACTGAAAAACTGAAAAATGGAGATTCTTTTTTCAAGGTTTTGTTCAGAAAATATATTTTTAAACAAGAAATGATTGTTACTTTTTCCTTAATGGTTTGTTTGCATTTAATCTATGTTATATGGTGTTTTTAGAAGCAAAAGCACACTTGCTGCTGAGAGAAATGTTTTTTTTACAATTTCCTTAGGTAACTAAGACTTTTGCACAGTACTGTACATCGAGCCAAAGCTCGCTCCTTATGATGTGGTCCAAAAAACTCACAAAAATCTGACCAGATATTTCTGACTTTTACATTATTATTTCAGGCTTGACTCCCAGCTCCATATTTTAGCATGTTTTTTCCTGACTCAGTAATGCTACTTCATTGAATTTTGACAAAAAAATAAGTGAAAATGAAATTACACCATAAATTTAATCTGTTAGAGGTACTCATGGAGCTTGCTAAGTTTTTGTTACCTAACATTGCTACATGCTAACTAAGCTAGTTTTGATTGGGTCAGCTATTCACAACATGTCTACTACTTCATACTCCAATATTGATGCATATTATTGTGCATTTTCTGTGTATTGTGAGAAACGTGAAGATCGTATAAGAATTAGTTGGTCCATAGTGCATCTCCAGTCAGGAGTTGTGGTTTAACTTGCAGGCATCATGAGCAATGGGCTGTTGTTTTGAGTGGTAGCTACATGAGATGCTAAGTGCAATATCCTGTCTTCTGTTCGCCTTACTCAGACTTTTCTGCCTCTCCTGTCGGTTTCATTAAGCGAGAGAGACACAGGAGCAGTGCTTTGTGTGTTTTCTCCTTTAAGTGAACCACATGCAGAGACCGCTTCAGGCAGAATCAAAACGGAGAGGCTATTTTTAGGGTCCCAACTGAGGTTTTATTTGTCTGGTGCCCTTGCAGGTGCTAAATCACTCTTATTTTAGAAATGGTGCCTTGGCCTAAATCAATCACTGCAGTATTAACCTGGCCCACCAGAGACAACTCTCCCCCCGCTCGCTCTCACTCACTCTCTCTCTCCTGTCTCCTTCTTGACCCCCTGGTCTCTTTTGTCCAAGGAGCTGGTGAGAAACACCTTTGATTCCCTACAGAGACACTGCTTTAGCCATTATCTATATTATTTTTGCCTATTCGCTTATTTAGTATTTTGTTTAAAATAATGATATATAATGATATATGATATATTTGTATACAGTATTCATGGAGACGAACAAGCACTAAATGCCCCTCTAAATGTTCTGTAACTGCTGAGAAAGGCCTTTTTATTGAATTTTAAAGCCAGGATAAAAGGAGGCTAATGTGAAGAAGCAGAGTTAGCCTGAAATAGCCTTCTCTGTTGTGTGTGTATCCCTCAGGGTGGTACGTCACCACTGTGTGTCCTCCAGAGCCATGTACCTTTCACCACTCCTTACGATAAGGAGCTGAGGCCACCTAGTGTAAGGTTGAGCCTCAGTGGAGCACCTGATCAGGCTTGAGTCCACCCGCAGCCCCCAGCGCTCTGAGCTTGACCTGAAATCAGCCATGTGCTATATAGAGCTGCTGGAAGACAAATTGTCCCTTATGCCACTGGGAGTCCGGGCTCTCACGCTAGGACAACACTGAAGGAGGTAGCAGGTGGAAGGAGAGGGCTTGACCATTGCTATTTTCTGCCTGAACGCCATGTGTCCAGGGGGGGATCCCATGTGATTGCAGAGTGTGTAGTGACATTGAATCTGTAGATTAGGGTGTCTGTCTTCAAGTTGCTTAGCATACACACACTAAGGCCTGACCTTTCTGAGGATTTTGTGATTGATACCGAGACTAATGTTAAGGAGCTAAAAATTCATATTTGAGTTACAACTAACAATTATTTCCATAATTGATTAATCAATCCAGTATGTTTTTCAATTAATTGATTAATTCAGAAAAAAAAACACTGCAGTTATTAGTTTGTCAATAAATAACATTGAGTAATTGACATTATACACAATATTTTGTGTTAAAAATTAAATAACACAAACATTATTTTTCCATTTACACAATGCTGTTTCAAAAATAAAATACCTACACTGTCTTCTAAGTCATATTTGCAAAAAAAAGGACTTTTATCAAAGGCAATTTGCATTGCTCTTGAAAATGCTGTTATAATCAGTATGAAAGGTGCAAAAACAAAGGAACAAATGATTTTCCCTCCTATAATAAAGCAAAGTAAAATTAATTAGTTTCTGTGTGGTTGGCAACATCATAATCAAACTTGATATTACTGACCACCCAACCTGGTTATCATTTGTCATGTTAGACATGTCAGTCTTGAGATTTGACATAGCACAGCACTGACCGTGTGCATGATGCCAACTTTCAAAAAGATAAATTACATTTTACCTGTCCACATAAAAGACACAGAAAACAGTTTTCAGTGACCTGTGTGGACAAGAGGTCAAATTAAAGAAGAAAAGGCTAAGTTTGCAAATCGTAACTGTAGTGAGAGAATGGCATATTTTAGTTGTGCGGTTTAGATGAACAGTTCCAAAACACAATTCGTCCATTCAAGCAACATAGTTTATTTTTCTATTTATTAAAATAAAACGTAACACTTTAGTGACAGACAGTATTTGTAAGGCTACAAGACGCCTACATAAGCCTTTTATGTCAGCAGCCATAAACTTTAATAAAGGCCTCTTCCATGAAGCTTTAGTTATCATAAAGACTGCTTTTGTCAATTTGATTTTTTTTTACCTCAGCAATGGTTATGACAACTGAAGCTTGTTGGAATGAGCCTTTATAAATGTCTATATCCATTTAGGTTTATTTCAGATGTCATGAAAGGCTTGTCATGTAGGTGTCATGTCGCTTGTCAACACTTGGCTTTAGTAATTTGTTTCTAAAAAAACAGAATTAGCTGAAAAACAACCACATGCTCTGACTTTTGACTGTGGTTTCAGTAGTTAACATTAACATTTAACATTTACTGCCTGACGTGATTGTCAGTTGTGAAACATATCAGTTCTGAGTTGTCACATTTTCTAACATAAATAATGTGGTTTGTGGAAGTTTCCCAGAACTGTAGTTGTTTTAATTGTTTTTGTTACATATTATTCATCAGTTATGTCTTATAGAATATTTTTGTGTTTCAACATGTTATAACTTAGCAGTGCTGGGCATGTAACAGACTTGCATATAAACATTAAAGCACCAAATTCACCGAATGGTCATCTTGACATCAAAATAAGCAGTTAATTGTCGGTCCTATATCAGCAGGATTTTTGCCGAGACCTATAGATTGGAGGCATAACTTTATTGGCCAAAATGATCAGCCGACTGACAGATCAGTCGGGTGGTAACACGCATTGACGTCCTGTCCTGTCCATGTTCATAACTTGACAAACACACAGTCTGTTTCAGTTGCACCAAGTGTCCACCGAACACATTATCCACTGCAAAGTATTTTTAGAACATGCTCAGATTATTGTATTATCTCCTTTTCTGTGGCATAGTTGCACAAACAGTAAGCGGGGTTTTCCCTTTCTGTGGCAGCTATAGCATTAGACCCAGATGGATACTTGGTCAATTATTCATGGACTGAATGCTCTGATGTGTCTACAGTGGTTGTTAAAGCCATGTGGCTAGCATGCTGTCTATACCATTCACATTCCTCAACCTTATGTCTGCAAGAATTTCCTCTCCTGATGAACTGTGTCCAGGTTAGAGGTCAGCAGGGCATGTTAATGTGAAACGAGGGCAGGATTGTGCTCTGAGGGATATACAGCCCATGCCAAATGTTCCGCTGTGCTGTAGAAGACTATGCATGGGTGAAAAAAGCATCTGCCACTATATTTGAAAATAGTGATTTTGATGTGGATGAGGAGCACTAGGTAAATAATTACAGATGTTAATGAGCTCTCTCGTCCTCTCTAGTCACATTAGCATGTTTGGTTTAGCTATTCCTTTAAAGTGTGATGAAGCAGACACTGTGATGTTAGTTTGTCCCAATATCTACTAATGTATTTTCTTACTTGACAAGAAACAAAAAGCTGGAACCATGTGGAAATGGAGACAAAAGGAAGAAGAAAACGTGTTCACTAAGAGCCCTTAAATGGCTTTGTTCTGTTAAGCATGTCATTTGAGCCTTTTCTGTTTATTTTACAGTCTCTTTTTTATTAATTCCAAGGCTCAGTAGTTCATAAATAATTGAGACTTGGGGCAAGATCAATGATAATGCCACTGAAAGGGCAACACTACATTAACCTCGCCTCTAAAGCTGATGGCTGTTTATGAATCAGCGCCTTTTAACTTAATTGAATCTGTCAGTAGTTGTTTTAACTCTTTCAGTTCTGTTCTCAGTGGATTTATATGATTGTATTCAACATAATTTATACTGGCATAATTTATAATGGCACAGACGGCTCTTTCGATCTTTATGGCACACTTGAATTATGTAATTTCTTTTCCTCACATTGCAGTCTGTTTTCACATTGCAGCTTGTAGTTAGCATTGCAAATTTGCATTTAGAGATTTTGTGAGTTTTATGAGTTTAAACTTTTTTTTTCTCCCCACAGTCCTATAGAATCCTGTCAGAATTTCTACAAAGACTTCACGTTACAAATTGACATGGCATTCAACGTGTTCTTCTTACTCTACTTTGGGCTACGTGTAAGTATCAGCAGAAGAAATGTGTATTTTGATGTGTATTTGGAAATAGGGCTGGGCAATATGACAGTATTTATTGTTGTTGTGATAAATTACATCACAACATGTCATATCTGAGCTTATTGTGTATATCGTCAACACTTCCCAACTCTATGTTTGACTAATAATTAAGCCCAGTTAGTATTTTTTAAATGTGTCATTACTTTATCTTTTCTTATATATATCAAATGTCAGAAAAATATATTGTGACATATTGTGTATTATGAAACTTCTCAAAATATCGTGATCTTATATTTCTACCATATCAGACACCTCTGTTTGGAAATGTTCTCCAAGCCACAGAAATCCACACATTTCTTATGCTAATTTTATACTGGTGTGATACAGTATTAAACTCTAAACTGTAAAGGCTTGTATAAAGGCCTACATTTCAATTTCTCACTCTCAACTACATAGTTATGAAATAATTTGTAATAGATTTTAAAGTAGTTGATATCTTTTGAGATAAAGAAAGGGAGTTAAAAGAATACAGGCTTCATTTCAGATATTTCCTTGATGTGTCCAGACATTGCATGGATTTGTGAATATGTTAAATTTCATCAGCAGCACAGTTGGTTTAATTTAATAAAGTACTGATTAGCCAAACCAAATACTGGATGCTAACTATAAATAATATTATTTGTTAATTAATATTAAATAATGTTATTTGTTTTTATTCCAATCTTAATGCTTACTGCCCAGTCAAGCAGGATTTTAAATATATTTTCATCAGTGCTTAAAACCTTTGCACAGTACAAGTGATTTGTTGTGTAAATATTAGTATTTTTAATGTGTATTAAGCCTTTGGTAAGCTAATAGAATGGCAAAAATGTACATCGCTCGATTTGCAATGAGAAGAAATGAATCATATTTCATGTCGCAGTACTTAGCATAGCACAAATATCATCCTCTTCTGATTCCCATCCCTAGTTATTATTGTGTCATCACTGAATTATAACTTTGCTTGTAAGGGGTTAAATATCTCTTCTCTCTTTCACTTTCTGTGTCCCCAGTTCATCGCAGCCAATGATAAGCTCTGGTTCTGGCTGGAGGTGAACTCCGTGGTGGACTTCTTCACTGTGCCGCCAGTGTTTGTATCAGTGTATCTGAACAGGAGCTGGCTGGGTAAGTCTCTAACCCATCCCCCCATCCTTCTTCTCCCTCCCTCTCCATCTCACCCCCTCAGTGCTGGAGCCTGGGGCGGCAGTCAATGCCCGCTGAATATCCACAGTGACAGGGCCTCCCTCTGCCGCTGCAGCGATGGAAAGATCAGACAGGAGGTAGACAAGAGAGGGGAATGATGATGAAGAGGCAAAGGCGAATGTTAGGGCAGGCTATCTTATTAAAATGAAGCCCGGGTGCCACAGTTGTTGTCACATCCTGTCGTCTGAATGGCTGAGAGATGTACTGAAATGCCACCTAATGGTTAGGCGAGTGAGGGCAGAGATGACAGGGCAAAAGCACAGGTAAAGGACAGGCATGCAGGCAGAGCCGAGAGGGAGGACGCTGACCTGGATTCCAGTGGTCCAGAGCTGTAAATGCTGAAATTTGCAGAGCCAAAGGACATCAGTGGTGTCATTATTGGTGATGTCATACTGAGACATAGAGTGCATTGTGGGTTGTCTGCATCTTGGAGAGGAGAGATCCTGAGATCAGGGAGGAGGGGAAAGGACCTGTATGTTTTATTGCTTCTCAGCCTGGGGTTTTGTGACCCCTTGGAGGGTTGCAAAATCAGTTTTGGGTGTTGCCAAATAATACATAGGCCTATATTGTGAATGACATTTTTGAGAATGACTTCCATAAAATGTCCCACTCAGTAAACACAGTAAAATCTCCGATGTTGAATTAACATTTACAGTGGCTATTTTTGTCCAGCTGGACCTTAAAAAGTACTGTAGGTGTTCATTCAACACTATGGATTTTTTTGTGAATGATATCATGCTGTCATTTTAAAAGGAATTCTGCTCATTTTTAAAATGTCAGCATAATTACATGGTTAAGATGTAAACAGAGTCGTTCAGAGTGGTTTGATGTGAACTGCTCCATTTTAGAGAAACTTAGTAAGAGCGAGAGTTGTTCACAGTGATTGATAGGAGCCAGTCGTCTGAAGAGTTTAAAGTCTCTAGATGCTCCTTCACAGGAAGTTATTACATGAAATAAAAGTTTTGAGATAAGCTTTTGGCATTAAAACATATTTTTTATAATCTATTTATGATGGAGAGGTACATGCAGTGCATTTTAAGGCAAAATGGATCCCAAAGAAAATGTATTTTTTCAGATTTACCACTACTATGCTGTTTCAACATTACAAAATACTTAGACTGTTTAATAAACATAAAGTACAACTTTAGTGAACAGTAGAATTATATGGGAGTCGTTGACGTTCCTGAGTGAAGTATTGGCAGAAAGGAGCAGTTCATTGGGTGTTTTCGAGTGGATTCGTTTGATAATTCCATTCGTTTTTAAAATTTTGATAATGTGTATCTATCGCTATGTCATGAATGATTCCGCAAAGGCAGCCTAAATTAGAATCATTTGCTAAGTTAGCTAAATTATAAGGATGCCCGCTCAATGTGCAGTGCTCATGCTGCATCCGGCGTTGGTTTGAATGCTTTTTCTTGCATGCAGCACTCTAGTTTTGCTTTTAACATTGTGGACTGATTTTATATAGCTTATCTTAGGTAACCAGCCACAGTGTCTGTTGCTTAAAGCAAATCTACCTGTCAAGTGTAACCATTTAGCCACAGAAGAAGAAGACATGCGGGCCAGATTTAAGAGTAAATTAAAGATACACGATTGGCATTCAGAACCTCTTGCTAGTTTGAGACCCCAGCTACAGGAGAAATGTGAAGAAGGTTCCTGTAGTGAGTGTCAGGAAAAAGTTGAGAGGGATTCATCTGTACAAACCCCCATTTTTTGAGGGTCGTAACTCCAAAACATTGAGACCACTGTTGCATTTGACTGGATCAGGTCAGCTGTTTAAGAGCCAGCAGGGTGGCTAAATGCTCCATGCTGATTCACTTCCCCAATGGTAATGATTTTCTGTCATGCCGTGTCTATGTCAAAGCTGGGGGTGACCCACAGGTGCAGCAAAAATGCAGTGTCAGGGGACTGGGGGAAGTGCACTTGTGATATTTTTGCCTGTGTGTGTGTGAGAGTGACTGTGAGTGTTTCTATGTGTTCTTTTGGCAGGGAGGAACTAGGCCAGTAACTCTGTCCCTCAAAGGCACTGCAGTCTGCACAATAAATGCAAATGCAGCCCCATTCACGCTTATATTAATCCTCATTTTTAGCAGGTTGCACAACAGCATTGTTAAAAAGAAACTAAATAAACATCAACTGTACATTTTGGCACAAAACTGTGTAGACATAAAGTTAATAATGAAACTCTTTATCCTTCCTTACGTGACGTGTGCCATATTCCAACAGCTATGTTGTTTTATTAATAATGTCTTGTTAAGCTAAAATTACAAGGATACGGATGAGGCAATAATTTGTCATGTTACTGTTCACTCTGAAGACTATGAGGTCTAAAACCCTCACTCTGGCCCCTGCACCCATCTCTGAGCCCTGAGGAACAGAGGCTCAAAGATGATGAAAGCATGTGAAATAGCCGCTGTGTGAAATCTCCAGCAAAGTCAGATATGCTCCTTAGATGCAAAATATCATCAGTGGAGTAATCTTGCTCATTAAATGAGTAATTTAGCTTCCTTCATCATTAGAGATACACCAGGGCCTTTAGCCCTAAACCCACTCTATTGATAGTCGTGTCCTAATGAAGAGAAATATCAAACAAATGCTTGTTTTATTTGAATTATTTTAGGACAGTTTTTTTTTTTTGGGTGGCACAGTTGTTAGGCACTAATAATTCACTGCTTGGATGCTTGTAATTGGCAGGCTTTTTAGAGAATATTATTAGAGCATGTGATATTAGAGCACTCTTGCACTCTGCCCTGTATACTGAGAGTTTTCATGTATTTGATACATTACACTAGATAGTAACTATTGTGATATCAATTATGATTATTATTAGTAGTAGATTTGTCAGTGTTAATGCATTTATAACGCCACCAATTTTTTGTTAACACATAGTTTGGCGCTTTGAACCTTTCATAGTAGTGCAGGCTGATGCCCAGCTGCTTATGGACTGTTGCTATCTGTGATTTTAGTCCTTTTAGATCAAGTACAGCTTGTAAATGAGAAGTTCCATTGACGTTGGTGATGAAAACTGGAAAATGCACCCTGTTTTGAAGTTAATAATAAGTTTATGTTTTCTTATATGTTTCTGTGTTCACAAAATGAAAATAATGTTCTTGAATTATTCAGAGAGAAGCTCTGCCCTTTGTCCAGAAATCTCAGACAGAATATCTGCCAGTAGCTCTTTTATGTCAGACCGACCGTGGCTGTTCAACATGGTGTTAGCTTGCATAGGCTTTTATGGGTGGTCGCTAGCAACCGAATACTTTGATCTTTTTTGTTCTTACTGCTCATATTGCTCCAAAAACTATGATGTTGTTTTAATTGAGAGGATACATGAAAAAATAAAGGAAAAAGGAACAGTGATTGGATACCTAATTGTCTGATGCTATGGAATAATTGAGGGAGAGCAGCAACGTTTTAAGACATTTTCACTACTTTATGGCACCAGAAGTCATTTTATTGAACTATTGAAAGTATTAGTAATGTAATGTAAAGTATTATTACATTGGGATGAAGGGATTAAATGAAGCACATTTTGTGGCAACATGTCATTTTAATGCACAACAGATAGCGTCCTTTATGTAGGTCAAAGTTACTTTAAAAGTTTTTGTGTTCAGTTTCAGTGCTGTAATCAGGTGGATAATCCCCTTTGCTTTACTGGTGGAGAAAGCCTCTCCATATTAGCCCAGGCCCCTAATGACTGATCATAGATCTCTTCCTCACTGCACAGCTTTGCACGAACATAATATCACAGAGGCTGTGGTCTCCATTAAATCGTCCTAAGCTTGAGCAGACCTTTCCAGTAATGTTACCTCTTCTGAAATTGGACATTGATTAAGATGACGAAAAAGCATGCCATTAAGGTGAAGGGGAACGTCAAGCTCCACTTTAGGAAAATAGAAATTAATCTTCTTAAAGTGGTGTGAAGTGAGTAGTTCTCCCAGGGGGACCATATGGATTAGGACAAAGGTTCTGTTCAAACGGTGCAAGCCACAAGCCATATTTCTTCCTCCGCCCAGCCAATTAACATCAGTCTTAACCCTCGTTTCACACTGCTGACTGTAAAGCAGAGGCTTTTTGTGATCTAAGACCTTCTTAGAAATGCTCTCTCAGCACTGCTCCTCATGGGCCACATTGAGCAGAGTACAGTAATTACACTAGCTAACATGCAGACATCTCTGGGATATACACAGAGGTTTTCTGGACTAAAGACATTCAAGCTCTCTGGAAATCCCTTATAAGCTCTTGAATTCATATTGGGTATTTGTGGACTGTACTGTACATGCTAGATTAAAGACCCAGCCCAATATCATCTGACAGGTATTAGTTATTTTACTGTAGCATTACAAACGCACTTAGCATGTCATGTTTATGATGTCTCAAACAACGGTGTGTTTCCCCATCTCCCTAAGTGTGCTCGGAAATTATGTTACCTAACACTGCCACCTGGTGGCTGGAAGTGGCTCTGTTTGTCCACACTGTTTTTGTCTCTTGGAATAAAGCAGCTTTGCTGCCACACTGTTGGCATGAAATAGTCCTCACCCTTGCCGGACAGGAAGCGTCTCTGTCAAAAGAACATGACCAGCATTAGAGGAGGAAACCAATTTGTGCTGTAAGCCTCTTTCACATGTAGAATCCCCCCATCTCACGTGGCAGGCCTCACTGGCAGTGCATTCTGGGAGCTATTTCCACGCTGGGAGTAATCCAGGACATTATCCCTCTTTACAAATGTCCATCCCACGCTGATTGAGAAAAGGAACCAGTGACTTGTGATGGCGAGGCACGTGACATGCTGTGTGTGTGTGAGCTTGGGGATGTGAATGAAGCGGGCTAGTGTGGTGCCAAACCCTCAATGAGCATCTGTCATTTGCACACATGTGTTCCCTATGCCTGGCCAAGTGTGTTGCATTGGCCTAGTCGCCTTTACCCTGATCTTCTTCTCACTACCTCTTTCACATCATCTGCCTTGCCTTCTGTTTGCCTCATATGGCAGATTACAGGAGTTTATGTTTAGTTTTTTTTTTTGTTGAAGCGGATGAATATGTAGCTACCAGAATATACTTTAGGGATATTGGAATCATATCAGTATCGATAGATATTTGTTTTAAACAAATAATCTTCTAGGGCCCAGTTTCCCATACGCATCTTAATGTGCATATCATCCTAACTGGTAGAGATAGTGTTCATTGTGCTGTTCACTTTTTCGAACATTTGAGAATTTGAGTTAAGTTATCTTTTGGGCCCAGATTAGATTTGAGCGATGTTTCAAAACGATATTTGATGACATATTTATTCTACTGCAGAAGAGCAGAGTGTTTAGACAGTGCTGGGCTATTATGTGAAATATTTGCATTTTATTTTCTTTACTGCTTTTGCAACATAATATAACAAATATGTTACAGTGTGTTTACAAGTTCATGATGAATGGAAATAGAAATGCTCTAAACTTGCTTGAAAAATAAATTGTGTTCTGTTAACTTCCATTCCAAATTAAGAATGTTTTTCCTTCTTCTGTAAAGTTTTTTGGGTTTTGTCCTGACCGAGATGATATCACTCTATTATGCTAATCCAGGTAGATTCAGTCCCAGATTTCTACAATTTAATAGATGTTTATGTATTGGCATCAGCAGATATGTACATGAAAAATATTGGGTATTGACATCAGCTAATTTCCATATCAGTGCATCCCCAATATTAAGTTCTAACAGTGGTCCAGCTCAAATACAATCCTTTATTGATTACCGATAAATTGATGCAATGAATCATGAGGTCTAAAATTTCATAATTCAGCCAGGATCCTATCAGTATAATTCAGCTTAATTTGATTTTTTGGTACAGTTTAGAATTATTTTTAGAAATACACCGACTGAGGAATAGTGATATAATCAATTAAAATTCATTGTAATGTAATTACAAAATTATTGCAGCTGAATCGTCACCTTCACACTGATGAGTCAGGATGCACTGATGCACTGATTTACACTCTATTAGCTGTATAGTGAAGTTGGCCCACAAGCATAAAGATCACGCATGAAAAGAAAGAGGATGATGCTCCAGCAAAGTACAGTGAATTTCAGCATCTCATGAATTCAGAGCAGGATTATGGGCCTTAATTTAGAGCATGATTACATTACCAAAAATTATTTATTTGCACAGTACATCATAGTATTCCAGCTACATTGCAGTGCTACTTGGGCCCTAGAGGAACAAACATCACCACTGTTAGCACCGTTTGTGATTAATTTTAGGATTATTGTTTTTCTCCTCTTCTTTATTTTTTTCCAATTTCAACTGCTCTAAATCCCCTGAAGGGTTCAGGACATGCAGAAGCGCTTCACCTCATGCAGACATGGCGCATTAGTGTCAGGCAAAAAATATCCCATGAGTCCCTTTGGTGACGAAGAGGGGGCAAAGGGGAGATGTGTGCGTAGGCGTTGCAGATTAAAGCACCGAAAAGATGAGCCAGGCTGCCTCTGCTCGCAGACAGACAGACAGCCAGCACTGCTACAGGTGTCTCTATTAGATTGTATTTCATCCTGGGTGTGTAATACAGTCTGCCAGTCTGGCTCTTTTAGGCTATAGTCTTCCTGAGTTATTAGTCAGAGTTTCCTGTCTATGTCTCAGTATTTTGCTCTTTCTGACTTGACAGTAGATTTAAATTGTTATTTACTGTAAGTTCTGAAGAAGCATCTATTTGAGTGTATGTAAAGTTCTGGACGAGTGAGATCAGAGCAGCAATCAGAATCATGATCTCCAGTAAGATTCTTGTGTTCCGCGGCCCGAGGGGCATCCTGCAGACTGAGGCTGTCCAGGACAACCGCAGACGCAAGAAGTCGTGTGGTGATCTTTTTCACAACGGTTACCGTGTGAGAACAGGAGAGGCTAAAGAGGGCGATGGCCTCCTCTACTCGCTTTTCTCCTGCCTCCGTGTGCTCTCCAACTGGGGTAAGAGAGCGTGGCCAGGTGTTATTGAACAACTACACATTGACTGTGATATACAAACGTTACAGTTTGTTTTTTAGTCGATTGCATTTGTGTTAGGGCTTCATCATATGGACAAAGTAGTTGTATTGCGATTATATTGCTTTATGTTGTGATATGTATGTGCAATATGCATTGTAATATTAAAATCACCTTGGTAAATTTCTACTGTGACTACATAATTTTGACCAAAATATTTATATAATACTTTTTTTATATTATATGAATACTTTGATTCATCAGAACCCACAGAATTGTAATGTGGAACTGTGATTGGACACAGATTACAGTAAAGAATGCTTTGGTTGGTTAGAGTACTTTTAGGGTTTAAGAAAAGCACATTATAAATGTATTATTATTATTATTATTATTATTATTAGTAGTAGTAGTAGTAGTAGTATTAGTATTATTATTATTATTATTATTGGAGGGCTTATTTGCATTATGGCTACCATGATAACTCATGCTCTTAAACTTGATCATTTGATTAAAAAAATAATTGATTAAAATGCACCTTCTTGATGAATCATTTAAAAACACAGTATTTTTAAAATATTTTTTTAATTAGTATAATAATAATTAGTATAATAATAATTAGTCTTTTTAAATACTTTCTAGTTTATCCAATTTTGATCACCAATACAGTATTTTGGAATCTTTTAAAGGTTGTTAAGAGTGTACAAAGTACAGTACTTCGGTACTTGAGTAAAAGTAGAAGTACTTTTTGTAAAACATTACTTGAGTAAGTACAAATATTTTATGTGTATTTCTACAGTAAAAGTAAAAGTACGAAAGTACTCGCTTATGAATGTACTTAAGTAACTCAGAAGTGAGTTATTATAGGTGTTCAATCATTCAAAAATCATTCACATTATGATGGGCAACTTCTGTTAAGGTGACCTGTAAGTTCTACAAAGTGACCTGCAAGTTGACTGCAAATCTAAAAAAGTTAGTAGTTTGTGTGACACACAGGTCTCTTTAATAAAATTTGTTAATCAAAATATTATTATGTAAAGTCTACAGTAACTCTTAGCACTTTAACTTTAGCTACATAAGTCCATTCACAAGCAAGTACTTTTACTCAAGTAATATTTTACTAAGAACGTTTCTGCTTTTTTGTTCACTTACTTTTCAAAGTTTATGCATAATTAAATGGGTAAGATGCAGTTGAAGTCATTTAGAGTGCTTTGATGTGAAATGCTCCGTTGCAGACAAACTTCCAGACTTAGAATTGTCCACAACAGTGATTATGGAAACCACACATGTGAAGAGTTCAATGCTTCTAAAAGCTACCTCACAAAAAAATTTGTTCATGAAACAAAATGAGATACGCTGTCTGATGTCTGGGACATTGTTTTGCGATAGTTTACAGTTATTTTACTTGAATACAAGTACAAAAGTACTTGCTTTTGAATGTATTCGAGTATATTATCTGTAGTGTGTTGGTGTAAATCTTCCCAAACCCTATGTGTGAATGTCTGAACGGTGTGTGTGATATGATGTGAAGTGTTGAGATTAATCTAATCTTGGAGCTGTGTGTTTGAGAGTGTTTGTAAAGCAGGGATGTGAGAGCAGGGCTAGATTGATGTTATGTAAGCAGCCTGGTGAAGCAGGTGTTGCATTGTTCTTTAATCTGGTTCCTGATGCGCTCACTTTGGCACCTATCTAACACTCTCACACTCACACACATGTGAATGTTTTCTCAAACTCACCGTGTAACTTCATGACAATGTAAGACTGTGCACAGCTCGTCTTTCTGTTTGTTTCTCTGAATTAGTAAGTACTGCTCTAGTAACCACTGTCACTGCTTTGAATTCAGTAGTGGGTATCACTTCAAATGAAAATAATATTTAGTTTTCAGAAAAGCCTTAGAATTTGCGTGTTATTATTGTTATTTTGCTATTCGATTTAAATGTGAATATACAACTTAATGATTAATAACATGGAATTATATTTACATTACATTTACATTCTGTAACAAAAAGTCTTTACTGATGTTTTTCTGATTTTGTCAATGTTTTTCTGGTTGTTTTTGCTTGTCTGTTTTTTTTTGCTGTCGCAAAAATGTGTCAAAAAGTAAAAAATGATGTTTAAAACAGGATAAACAGGATTATGTGCAAAACAAGACTACACGCACAGCAATGACATTTCATCAAATTCAGTTATACTACATAAAAAAGTTAATCTCCTTTTCTAGCAACAAGCACAAACATGGTATCAGTTGAAAGTTTTGGCATTACACATTTGATGGGATTTATTTGCTTGTTTCACAGAGTACGATTGAGAAATAATAAAAGATTACACCGAGCTTCTTGATCACTGTGACTGTTAAGGGTTAAATTATGATTGTAAAGCCCTGAGCATTTTCTGAATATTTTATATACACTGGATGCATATGTATTGTCATTGTACACTACCACACACCTACTCAGAGAAGGGGTTCTTTATTTTTACTATTTTCTACATTTTAGAATAATAGTGAAGACATCAAAACATTAGACCAGTAGGCCATCAAAGTGTTTCCCGACTTACTCCTTTTCCTGATTGTTTATTGATGTTTTGTTGGTGTCAGCCATGGAAATTAATGGCTTGTAACCTTTCCCCTCTTTTTGTCTTGCAGGTCTGAGATTTCTAAGAGCCTTGAGATTGATACAGTTCTCAGAAATATTACAGTTTTTGAATATCTTAAAAACAAGGTAAGGCCGACCACCTGCTCTCACACACTCCACAATGTTCCTTTGTTGCCAAGTAATGACTGTGATGGTAAGACCTTAGTTAAAGGTACAATAAGTAGCGAAACATTTCGCTTGTATGTGCACATTGCTGACTCACTGCTCATCACATGGCTGGCCACATAGCTTGGCAAAATGCTGCAACGGGAATTAAGGTAATCGGACTGTACAAGCTAAAGCTAGCACATTTTCCTGTGTGAGCTTAGTCTTCGTCTCACGTAACTGTCTCTATCTAGAGCCCTCAATCTTAAGTTCATTCTTCTTATTGTACCTTTACACTATACAGAGTTAACTTAGTGAGTTCCTCCTCTGAATCTCCGCACTCTTTGTGCGTCTCTAGTAGTCGTCCAGCCGCCTCTCAGAGAGCCCTGCAGCCTCCCAGCTTTGACCCAGATGTCAGGCACAGCTTATAGCTCGGCAGAGTGTTTTATGTTAATCCCCCACTGTATCTACGTTTAGCCTGCTGTAGGTAAGAGAGCACGGTGCAGCCTTATGAGTGGAAACGCCTGGAGCTGAGGCTCACAGCGAACAGGCCCTCCTCCAGCAGATCAGGCACCCCCTCTGACACTGTGTGGCATTTTGATGCGATTAAGTCAAGGAATCAGAGAGGAGAGGAAAACACAGCATGCACTCTGTGGTCATAAGACTGGTAGAAGGTTATTTCCATTGCCACCTCCGAATTTGTGTTTTATTCTTTAAGTGCGGTGGGCAGCTTTGGTGCAAGTGAGTCTCCTCTCATATTTCACCATGTGAGAAATTGCTGAAACCCACGCGAGCAACTCTTGCCCAAATGGCAAATCAGAGCGTTATTTGCTCATAGAGCTGAACAATTTGGCAAAAAAAACATAACTGTAGTCAGGGCCAGGATTCCCACTATGTAACTGGATATGAAATGGTCATTTTGTAATAACCTGTGTATTTGCTCCCAGTAAGCAATGAAGTGGCGGCGCCCCTGGCCAACCTCGCCATGTGTGTGTTGGGCTCAATAGATGACTGATTAATCTGTACGTCAGTGCGATGTGTTTCACTTTGAGAGGTGTGATGTAACTCTCGTCTCTCACAGTAATTCCATCAAGCTGGTGAACCTGTGTTCCATCTTCATAAGCACATGGCTCACAGCTGCAGGATTCATTCATCTGGTGAGTGAGAGAACACACACGAGCCCCTCCAACCCCTCCCTAAAATGAACAAACATCTGAGTATAGGTAACAAATGGTGAAGAGGAACAAAGCACATACCAAGGCCGATGCCTTCATTCAGTATCTGTAGTCTTTTGTTGTAGCAAAGATGCTAAAAATTCAGTTTTTCTTTCTATTCCCTTATCAGGATATGCCAGAGGACATCTGTGCCACTAGATGGCAGCAGAGACTCTGATCTACAGTAAAGCCACCTGTTTGGTTCCTCTCACAGTTCCTCTCAAGCACGTAAAACCCCTCTTGGGTGCCCCACATTCAGTGGTGGCTATAATCTGAATAAACAGTAGGTGGCTGTAGAGGATCAGGCTTAGAGCTGTGCTTGGAGGCCTTGGCTCATCTCAGTAATGCTATTATGCTCTCCCCCCTTCAGGTGGAAAACTCAGGGGATCCTTGGGAAAACTTCCAAAATTCTCAACCGCTTTCATATTGGGAATGTGTGTACTTACTCATGGTCACTATGTCCACGGTGGGCTACGGAGACGTCTGTGCAAAAACCACTCTCGGCCGCCTTTTCATGGTCTTCTTCATTCTCGGCGGTCTGGTAAAAATGACTTTCCTCTCATCTGCACTTTGTCTTGACAACCCTCTCCACACACATCATCCGTCACTTCACCTAGAGACTAAGACGACCATTTTCTATACGAAGCCCATAACTGTCACCTACCCATAGTCTTCATAACGTCCCCATGAAATACTTTCCACTTTGTATATTTCCACAGTGTCTTCACAATGCCTGTTCTCCACTGTCAAAAATCTCTCCTCCTGTTTTACCACTGTAGCACATGTAGAATTTACATGTACATGTATGTTGAGTAGAGTTTTCATAGTTATTTGTCTGAGATACCCAATATACTTGTTACTTCTGATTAAGAACATGTTGTATTTTCACTAATGTTAGTATGTAAGAAATGTTATGTATTTTGACAAAATCTGATAATGTTGTTGCTATTCTTTTTAAGCAGTTGCGGTTTCAGGAGACCCCACCCTTCTGTGTCCCTCCCCGAATTCCAACAAACACAGTGGCAGGAGGATGGCCCATAGTTCTGTCTGAACGTCACCACAGCAACAGCAGCCTTAAACACACTGCTACACTAACCTTTAATGGTAGCTTCATATACCAAGACCAGTCTAGTTTTGGCTAGATACCAAATAGTTTTCAAATATTCAGTAGTTTATAGTGACTGTACAGCTAAACACATACAGCTTATAGACTTACAGAATACATTATAGGCTCAATACTTATCATCTTACAATCATACATCTTACAGTCTTCAATCCAGAGACAATAATTATAATGAAACACATAGAAGTTACAGACCATAATACACACCAAATATATATAGCCAAACACACACAGCTTACAGAATACAATACAGACCCAGTAAATATAGCCAAACACAGCTTACAGAATACAATACAGACCCAGTAAATATAGCCAAACACAGCTTACAGAATACAATACAGACTAATTAATTCTAGCAAAAATGATACAGTTTACAAATCAAATGCAGTTTGATGACTACGAAAAAGATTCAGTAGCTCCAAGCACATGCAATGTTTGCACTGTTATACAGACCAGATACCTATAGCCCAATATATACAACTTATGACCAACCAAATAACTATAGCCACATGAGTATAGCACAAATTGTGGCTGTAATGAGAAAACTTCATATTTCTAAAATAGTAACTTTATAGCAAAAGAAAAAAACTCTTCAACATCTCTGAAAGTAAAATATTTGTAAAACAAATTGTAAAAAAATGTACTTTTCAGAATTTAATTTTCTAAAATGGTAACTTTACAGGAGAAGGAAAAATGCTATTAATATCTGTTAACATAATGAATTTTCTGTTGATCCATTTGTCATGTTTGCACAATGTGAAGGGCAGCTGTTGTTTTAAATAGCAAAAATAAATAAATAAAATGAACAGTACAGATAAAGAACTAACCCAAATAGCTACAAGCAAATATAGTTTACAGGCTGCAGTATAGACCAACTACAAGCAACACATTTAACAACTCCAGTCCAAATATAAACCAAACAGCCAAATAGTTGCAGTGTACACAGACAGAAAGCACATTAGATACAGGTCATATTCCTACACAGAGCAGATCAGATACAGACTACTCTCAGATGCAGAGCAGACACAGACCATGCTGAAACACAGATAAAACCCCAGCTGTCATGGCGTTACCATAGCGATGTGTTCTTTCTTTGTTTCAGAGAGGCCTGGAAGTTATCATAGCCCTGTTCCCTGCTTTCTATCAGCAGCCCAATTAATGACTTCAGTATGGAAATGTTGTAAAGCGTCAGCTCTGATCAGACAGATGTCATAATTCATTCTGGCCCCAGAGAGCAGCTTGGATTTAGAGGAAGGCCTCAGACAGGACAGAGATCTGCGTTCAGGAGGCAAAACAGAACAGAGCTTTAGTCAGGACAGGAGGCTGCAAACTATGCAAAATGCATCCAGCTCATTTCCAGCCACACTAATGAGTCTTAATGTGTTTTGCAGCTGTGGGCGCTCGGCCTGGACTATTCAAATCAACCTGCCACATCATCAGTGTTTGTTGGACAAAACATGGCACATAGGTTTTTTTTTCTCTTTTTCTACCCCTTTTTTTTTCTTTTTTCCTCTTCATGAGATGGTGCCGTCACAGCGTGACGGATGATCAGCTACGTTTTTTCACTTTTTACATTTTTTTTTTCTGAGCCAGTGGCCTCTTCACTGAAATCTTTACTTTTTTCAGTGATGCCCATTTGTCATTTGATTCCCCTGATTAAAACACAGCTATTTAACAGGGCACACTTTTTGTTTGGATCTTTGCCATTGCTAAATAAACTCTTTTTTTAGACCCTCTCTTTTTTAGACCTCCAGTATTAAACTCTTCATGGAAATTCAAACGCTTTCCCAAAACCGAAGTGACAAATATTGTACACATATACTTTTTCACAGCTCTATGTCTCCCTAAACAAACCCGTGCTCTCGTCAGACGTTGGGGGGGGAGCGTGTTTGGAGAAGCGTGTGCCCCCTTGGACCAGTCTCTCCGCTCTCTTTTTTAGTCTCTGCTTCTGTCTCCTATCTTCTCCTTAGGCCATGTTTGCCAGCTACGTCCCTGAAATCATAGAGTTAATAGGAAACCGCAAGAAATATGGTGGTTCCTATAGTGCGGTTAATGGCAGAAAGTAAGTATTCCAGGAGGCTCTGCTGCCTCGGCCGCAGTAGAACCCCTCTCTGCATGCCCTTTTCTTTTTCTGTTCCATGCATGTAGGCCATGTTTGCTCGCTACGTGCCAGAAATTGCTGCTCTCATCCTTAATCGGAAGAAATACGGAGGGAGTTATAACTCGACACGAGGCAGAAAGTAAGTCCAAATCCAGAAGCAGGTGTGGTTGTGTGACTCAAGCTCACCCCTCATAGAGGGGCTCAGTACAGTGTATACAGGTTCTGTGCAGAAATGTTAGAAAATTAGATGTAGAATTTAAAAAAGAGAAATGAATGTCACACTGTGACTGGAGACCTTGGCCATGAAAGCCACATGTCCATGCCCTTTGCTCTGTGTCTGTGGCTTCTTTTCTTCAACACTACATCCTACTTGCTGCATTTTAATTTCATTCCAATCTCTAGAGCTTTCATGACTACTGTCTTTTCTTGTCATTCCTGTTGTGCAACTATGAGATAATACAATTTGAAATTATGTTTCCTCATGTGCCCTTATTGTAATTTCGGTCTAGTCAGCACATGTCAAAGTCTTGTAACTTTTTGAAAGATAGTCATGAAAACCCTACCAATCGCTTATAAAACTACTATTTTGCAGTTTGCACAGATATTAAAAAAGCTATCTTAACTGCATCATTATGGTTTGTTTGTAAAGTTTCATTTTCATCCTTATTTTTTTGTTGTTGTTCTATTTCTGTTATCATTTTGCTTTGAGTTGAGTGTTCTTCACGCGTGAAACCATTTCTCGCATGCTCTCTGTGACTTGGAGGTGTGTTTGGGCTTTTTTCGGCAGCCGTGCATGTTGCCATGAGAAAAGCTTTTCTTCCCTCGGCTCTGTGTCCGTCACCTCATCTCTGTCTGACATGACTCTGGCCCTGATCTTCAGTCAGATCACACACCCTGAATGCCTGGATGCCTCAGCTCGCGCATTGGAGCCTCTCGATTGCACTTGGCTTGCTTTTTATGCCCCGCTTGGTACTTTATTATGTCCCGTAGACTTGTGTTTTTGTTTCTATTTTATTTCCAGAGGTTGCCCCTGAATGTGAATGTTTTGAACACTCACTCGTTTCTGGCTCAAACACGGCCCTGTCATCAGCACAGCGATTCTCCCCGAGTGCTCACATTGAACGTTTATGTCCTGTACAGTGAATTCTCTCTCTCTCTTTTTCTCTCTCTCTCTCTCTCTCTCTCTGTCTCTAGCACTCTCACCCTGTCTCTCGCTCTCTGTCCCTATCTCTTTGTATCTCTCACTCTTTCTCTCTCTCGACATGAAATAGGCGCACAGTCACGATTAGCTTTCATCATCTTGAGTTTTAGGGCAAATACTAAGCGGAGAGAGAGTAAAGCCATTAGGAGCCTTTTTGTTTGATGCTGTTTCCCTGTCAGTGAAACAAGATTGATGAAATGTTATGTTTGGCCCCAGCCCTGTGGTTGGATTTGGAGCCTGGTGTTGAGAGAAGGACTTGTCAGAGAAGAGGACTCTCTCTCTTTCTCACTCTCTCTCTCTGTTTCTCTGGCCACGCATGCATGTGGTTGCAATTAGAGGCGGCCAGGATCCAGTTCTGTGGCCGAGCAGAAAGACAGGCACCAGGCTTTGCATTATTGTTTAAATATGGATGTGAGTGTGTGCTTATGAATGGACACATCAAGACACATATAAATAAATGTGTCAGGATATTTATTTATTTCTTCTGTCGGCACGTTTCCTACAGTCTCGGGATTGGGCAAAATCCCTCCAGTTCTTTACAGTGTAATACTGCATTAACACAACACTTATAAATACGGTAATTTACCCTGAGTCAGTAGTTTTTTAGGTACATCTAACTTGTAACTGCACTAGGAGAGTACACTTCTACCTTTGGGACACCCACTACCATCTGGTCATCAGTTGTCCTACCGTGGTCCCTCTCCACTGATGAATGAGGTAGAGGGTGGTTGAGGGTTGTGCAGCAATAGGTAGGCTCAGTAATTGTACATGGAAGGAGTCCACATACAGCACTGTGCCAAAGTCAGAGAACGCCCTTTATTTATTTAATGTCTGGTCAAAATGGCAATTCAGCACAAGTTATTCATTTCATTATGAAATTGCACAGAAGCCTCAACAATTAAATATAATATTTATATTTTCAGTATTTAATGTGTCCACTCTTTGTCTTTATTACAGCTTCCTTTATTTTTGGGAAACTTGCTTTCAGTTTTTCAAAGAAATCTGCAGGGATATTTTCCACACCTGCAAAGTTCAGTCTTAGAAGTTGGTTGCATTTTCTACTTTTCACAATCTAAGTAAACTCAAACACATACAGTGATGTTGAGGACTGGACTCTGGAGTGGTCAATCCGTTGTTCTGAGAACACCAGCAGCTTTTTTGTTGGATTTGGAAATTTGCTTCTTTTTTGTCTATTTTTTTTTCTCAGTGATAACTTCTTGACAGCTACACATGCTTTCAGACCCATTTTTGAACTCTAGTTTTCAAAACTCCTGTTTTTAACTTATTTTTCTATGAATTTCCTTTGCTTATGCAAGTGGGTTATTTTATATCTAATCTCCTCAGAATTATTTCCTGAAAATTGTCTAACTTGTACTTGATGGCCGTTTTGACTGGAAATCCAATAATGACCTGATAAAAACTGGTACCTGATAAAAATTGGCCAATGAGTGTAGCAACTAGGTAGGTGTACCTAATAATCTGAACAACTGAACAAGTTTACAGCTTTGGCTGTGCCAAAATATTTTACATGTATTGAATATAGTTATATTTAGTGCAGGATGTTATGTGACAGAACATTGCAAAAAGTGTGTATTACTGTTTTTGTGGAGCTTTTAAAAGAGTAGAAGAGTGTTCAGAAGTAAACCTGGTCTTTTGATTGGTCTACATCTGCAGCCCGTACTGTATTCACGTCAAAGAGGAAATATTTACAATATAGCTATTTCTTCCACTATCTCAACATTGCAAAAGACCTTCCATCCCTGTTTAAAATGTCATGTGAATTGTGATTATACTCTCTCTGAAGGTTTTATATAAAATTGGCATATCCACTTTGGTGTAGCGTTCTGCATGGAGGTCCCGACAATTACCGTCTTCTGAGGTCAATCAAGTCCAGCAGTGTGTATGGGTGCTGGATCAGGGAGCAGTTTTGATGTATAATCTCTAGTATTGAAACCATGCCTTATGCAGTGGTCGAAGCGACTGCGGACGCCAGAGTGTGTGCAGCGTAGCATTCAGCTGTCAGAGCAGTGACAGAGCTGACGCTGGATGTATAGCTGTAATAAAGCGCAGTGCTCTGCTGGCATGGGTTTGCCTCTCTGTGGTTTCCATTAGAGCAGTGCTGAAGCAAAGAGCAGGGTAAACCCTACATGAACCCTGAGCTCATACACCTCCTCTGAGCGTGTGCGGCCTCGCTACACTGACAGTACGGAGCCAGGGCTGCCCAGACATGCAGGCCACTGTCCCACTCACGTGTATGTCTTTGTGTGTGTGTATATGTGTGCGTGTGTGTGTGTGTGTGTGTGTGTGTGTGTGTAGATGAGAAGGGTATGGCATGTGTAAATGCCATTACTGACATGGCTCTCATAGGACATTAAAGACAGTATGATCAGTGAAGGATTACTCATTGGGTCCCTTTGCTCTGGTGGGATTGATATGGAAAATAAGCCCATTGCAGCAGACCTTATGATGTTCAGGGTTTTGGGACGGTTCATACTGCCGGACTTTCCCCTTAAAGCTTATATGAAATGGCATATGGTTTATATATATATATATATGTGTATATATATATATATATATTTTAAGGGGCACCTGCGGCCGTGTAATTAAATTGTCACTGACCTTGTTGATTGGTCCAAGTACTGCACCATAGTGCTGCACCATGTAATATCTTACATGAAGTACCAGTCAAAAGTTTGGGGGGCGCATGTTAACACGTAAAGACATTTTGATCTAAAAGTTTCTGCATAAATGCTTGTTTCTAAGACAAATGAGAAATATATGCAGTGTCGCTAAATATTGTGAATACAATATATATTTAGTACATTATAGTACATTGAAATGGAAAAGCATTAATGAAGCCTTGTTGTGACCTGGAGTGGCCTGAATTTTTTTGAATCATTAAAATGTAAACATTCAGAGTGGTTTGATGAATGAAATACTCCATTCTTAGATGTTGATATAAACTAGACATCTGTAGAGTTTAATGCCTCTAAAAGCTACCTCACAGAAATTTATTACATAAAATGGTAACAAATATGCTGCTTGATGCCGTACACTATGTTTTATGATAAAGTTTTGACCTAAAACACTTTTTCAAACCCGTACATGATGAAGAGGTATATGCAGGATTTGCTCCTACTTCAACTTTATCAACCTTATATATAAAAACCCAGAAGACACATGTGGGCTCACTGGTCATTTTGGTTGTAAATAAAATAGAAACAGAAGTTGTCTATACGTTTCTTTACAGTGACCCATTTCACATCAAACCACTCTGAATGTCTTACATTTCAACCAGTGAATTTTGCAGAAATTTTGAAAAATTGGTGGAATTTCCCTCTAAATCATCCAAACCCCTAAAAAACATTTGTGAATGGCCAGGGTTCTGATGGCACACAATAAAGCATTCAGCAAAAGAGGCTCATTTAATGCTTATGTATGAATTAATGTCTATAACAAAAAATGTTACATTTAACAAGCAGTTCTGAGCAGCCAAACGGCTTCTCAGCATGTGTGGAACTTCTTCAAGCCTGTTGGAAAACATTCTGGGTGGCTCTTTATTAATCTGCTTAAGAGAATACCAAGAGTGTGAAAAGCTGCATCATATCAAAATGGGTTACTTTGAAGAATCTGAAATATCTAAAGTTTTTTATGGGTTTCCTATTATTCTAAAATAGTAAAGAATAATAAAAAAATAAGTAATACCTTGAATAATTGTGTCCAAGCTTTTGACTGGTACTGTATATCAGGCATGCCAAAC